ACACATATATATAAATGATCTATAAGGAGCTCTGGTAGGGTAGTACCTAAGGCACTTGACTGCTAACCAGAAGGCTGCTGGTTCAAACCCACCAGCCACTCCTCGGAAGGAAGGTTGGGCAATCTACTTCCATAGTGATACCACCTTGGAAACCCAAGGAGGGGTCACTATGAGTCAGGTTCGACTCCACGGCACATAACAACAACAACCCTTCAGACTAGTGGAACAATGCTAATATCTATCTAATCTTGTGAGGTGCCTGGTAATTGAAAAAAATGAGTGACTAGACTCATCCAATGGTGTGATCTGAGCTTGGTCTTATTACAAATCATATACTTAATTTCATCACACTATAAAACTATTTTTTAATTTTAGTTTTTCATAATTTTTTATTTATCACCTTCCCTTTCACCCAAGTTATATGTCTACCCTCCCTTCCCCTCCCACCTCTGGTAACAATCAAAGAACATTTCTTTTATGTGAAAACCTTTTCTTGACTTTTTACTATAGTGCTCTCTTACGGTATTTGTCCTTTTGTGATTGACTAATTTCACTGGGTATAATATCCTCTAGATTCATCCATGTTATAAGATGTTTCACAAATTCATTGTTGTTCTTTAACATTACGCAATATACCATGGTGTGTATGTACTGTAGTTTGTTTGAATAAAGACTAGTGTAAAAATTACAGAGGATGGACTGGTTATGAGATTCACAAAGAGAAAAACAGTGACAGTGCACTGTGCTCATCTTTGTGTAGAGAAACAGGCATGTTCATAAGTTGTCAGTGGAAGTGTAAATTGATAGAATTTCTTCAGAAAGCAATGTGGCAAGAGCTATCAAATATTACGTAAATGTTCAAATTTGTTAGTTTAAATTTACACTGGTTAAATAAACTATGGAGCTCTGTTGATACAGTGGTTAGTGCTTGGCTCCTAATCCAAAGATCATGTGTTCACACCTAACAGCTGCTCCATGAGAGAAAGATGAGGTGCTTCCATAAAGATTTACAGCCTTGGAAACCCTATGGGGCAGTTCTATTCTGACTCAATAGCAACGGGTTCAGTGGTTTTGGTAATTAAACTTTGGCAAATAAAACTTTAAATGAATTAAGCAGCTCTTTACAAAGTGACGGGGATAACCTTTAAGATACACTGTTCAGAAAAAAAATCAAAGTGTTCAACAGTTTTGTGTGCTTTGAAAAAGGTATATTTACACATATATGCTCATGTATACACAAATTATCAAATGTAACCTAGTAGTGAAGAGTGTGATTTCTGGACTCAGATGGCCTGGATTTATATCTTGGCCGTACTACTCACTAGTTGTGTGATTTAGGCTGCCTCAATTTCCTCATCTATGAAGAGGACATGACAGTTGTACTTACAACAGAGGGTTGGCATGAGGATTAAATGTTATTTGAAAAATGCTCACCGCAAGACCGGACACATAAACATTCAGCAGAAGCATTAGTGTCTCTTTAAGAGTGTGTAAGAAAATAATCATTTTGATTGTTTCAGGGGAGGGGAGCTGGAGATAGGGGACAGAGAGAAAGTTACTATTTACTTTATACACCTGTGGCCCTTCAGGTATTGTTTTACAGTGAAAGGAAAGATAATACCCCATTTCCCAAGAGACTACTGTGTTAATCTAGGTACAAGATGATTGGAGCTTGGGCTGAGACAAGCAGCAGGAATAGGGAGAAGATGGATTCAAAGCACCTTTAATAGTCTAGACTTGGTCACTATTGGCTCTGAGAGGTGAGGAGAAGGAAGAATCTAGGGACATGTCGAAAGAGTTTCTTCAAAGAGACAAAAGTTTCCAAATTCTTCACTTTAGAAAACTACTAAAGTAGTAGTTTTTACACCTTCACTTACTGTTGTTGTTGTTATGTGACGTTGAGTTGGACCCGACTCAAAGCGACCCCTCCTTGGGTTTCCAAGTATCACTATGGAAGTAGATTGCCCCATCTTCCTTCCGAGGAGTGGCTGGTGGGTTTGAACCAGGCAGTCAAGTGCCTTAGGCACTATGCTACCAGAGCTCCGCTAATTTCCTCTATGCTACTTTTACTCTCCTGTGGTCAGAATTAAATTGCAATTAAATGATCACTTCATATATTTATTTCAGCTTCTTGTGGTCCTTTTACCCACCTGTCAGAACCATCTATTTTCCTCTGATTCGTTTGTATCTGTCCTTTTCCTCACTTTGTCTTAAATTTCTTCCTCCAGGGACTGTATTTATTTATCTCTTACCTAGATTGGTATTGGTTCACTACAAAATTTATGAAATTAATGGTAACCTTAATTTGCTTTTTAAAAAATGTATCCTTTTACAATTAGGAAATCAGTCATTGGTGGGATGATGGCTGGTGTTATTGGCCAATTTTTAGCCAACCCAACTGACCTAGTGAAGGTTCAGATGCAGATGGAAGGAAAGAGGAAACTTGAAGGAAAACCACTGCGGTAAGTTCTCTAATTGATTGATGCCTTACCTTTCCCCTTGGCTACTATCGTATTTACGTAATGGACTTATGTGGTTGTTTTTCTGTTTTTGTTTTTGTTTTTGATGTAACATTCAGTAAGAAAATATTTCCGATTCTTCTAATTTGGACTTTATATTCATGAAGAGGAGAGCTGAGCCAGACCTTTTCTGTGTATGATAAAGTGTACATATTCTCTACCAGACAGTTATACATGTGCATAGCTAGATTCATGCCCTATTTCAGTTTGATACAATGAGTTTGATCATTAAATCTGCCTTGGAAGTCATGTAACTTCTAAGTCTCTGTTTATTCCTGTTTAAGGGCTATTTCAAAAGGTTTTCATGAAAGTCAAAATGTCTACTTTATAAGATGTGAAAAATTTTTTTTTTCTTTCTATATCTGTGTAAAAGAAGGGAATAGTAAGGTTGACCACACAAATTGTTCCCACCTCCCTCTCTAGCCCCACTTCTCCTACATCTTGAGGCCCTCTTTTTCCCATCCTTATGAAAGTTTTCTCATTGTGTCTTTTGTGTATAAAGTTCTCCAACCGAAATAGTCTATATTATCAAAGTCTACCCTTCTTCAAAAGGGCTTCAAGTTCAACCCCTTGGTTTCTCCTGGGAAAGGGCAAAATATTTCTCCTTTTCCTGGAAGCAGTCTCCTAGGAAACAGAGTACAGGATGAGTTGGGCTGAGTACAAAGTGTTTGGTTCCTCTGAACACTCCAGGTCAATAGCTGAGCCAGAGGTAAAGGAAGATGTGGGGACTCCTTTGGGAGTGCATGCCTCCTCTTTGGTCCATTTCTAGCTAACTCAGTGGAAAGTGAGGTTGGGCTGCTACAGTCTAGGCTTCCCTTCAGCCAAAAAAGAAGGGAGAGAATGTACACAGAAGAGGAGGAGAGGTACCACTCTACCTTAACCAAGTGTTTCCAGAATCCCAGGGCCCATTTTATCATCTTGTAACAACTTGTAATTAAGTAGCATGGAGAAGTGGTACCTGGGTTGGATACATGGAGAGAACTGGCCATTGGGGCATTGGGTCTAGAAATGTCTGACCCAAATAACTGATCCACTATTTTTTTTTTTTTCCCCTCTCCTTGTCCTGATGCTGAAAATGTTTAGTTTGATTATATTAAATTAAATGTGGGACCTCTGGTAGCATAGTGGCTAAGGCACTTGACTGCTAACCAGAAGGCTGGCAGTTCAAACCCACCAGCCACTCCTCGGAAGGAAGATGGGGCAATCTACTTCCGTAGTGATACTGCCTCAGAAACCCAAGGTGGGGTCGCTATGAGTCGGGTCTGACTCAATGGCACATAACAACAACAACAGCAACAACAACAACATATTAAATGTAGTGATAAAGAACATGAACCTTGGGGTCAGAAAGCTTGGGATTCAAATCCAAGCTTTACCCCATTTTAGCTCAGTTAACTGAGTAAAGTTCCTTAATCTCTCTAAGCCTCTGTTTCCTCAGATATAAATTAGAATAATAGTGCATGCCTCATAGAGTTTTCCAGGTTAAAATGTACCTGTGTATATAAAATGCCTGGCACTTAGTAAATGCCCAATAAATGTTAGCTGTAATTACCATCATTCCTGAGCATAACTTCCTAAGTATCAATTAGGCATACCCAATAAATATGGCAGACTACCTTTTTTTTTTTTATTAGGATTTGGGTGAAGATTTACAGAGTAAATTCACTTTTCATACAGCAGTTCACACACACTTTGTCTCATGTCATTGA